TGTATACTTTTATTTCATTTTTTAAAAGTCTGGAAAAGCTTAACGTCTGAGTGGCTGCCAGCCCCGCTCCTTGGCCCTCTCTGGAATCCAGAACAGAACAGAATCCAGAACTCTCTCTCCTCATCTCCTGGGGGGGGGGGGGCGGTGAGTGGGGAGGGGGAGGCCTACATGAGAGCTCACCAAGGGCGGGTGGTCAGGAGCTTCTCTTGAGCCGCATGTGGTCCTGCCAATGCACATCCCTGTCCTGGAGAACCAGGACCTGTGCTCTCTGGATCCCTATGGCCCCAAGGACAGAGCAGGAACCTGTGGAGCATTTCTGCCTAGGCCTGCAGCACTTGAGCTCTCCCAGTGTGGAGGGAGGTCAAGAGCATGCCTGAGAGGCCTGGCCATGTGCAAATCGAGGCCTGGCTGCACCATTTGTAATTCTGTGACCCTGTGCAAGTTTCCCACAGTCTGAAGGAGGAGAGGTCAGCAGTCACCTGCTGCTGAATGACACAGGTTTGTTAACACCCGAGGCAACGGCCAGAAGGAGGAGCTGGTGGCGCCATCCTCCCTAGTGATCGCCCCGCCCTTTGTGATGGAGCAAGCATGAAATAAACCTCCTTTCCTCTCAGGACCATGAAAAGTACCTTCTTCTGACAATATTATGGGGTTAACAGAAACTCTTGCCCAAATGCTCCGTGGTCTATGGAAGACACAGTATAAAGACACAAAGAGCGCGTCCTCTCAGTGTGCGGTGGCAGAGCGACCCAGCCGGGCAGTTGGACAAATCTCACCATGTGGAACCAATGTGCACTTTAGGTCCCTAAAGATTCCAGGATACATATTTCCTGAGTTCCATTTTAAAAAGAATAGTAATTGTAATCCTCTTATTTACAAAATAAAATATCTCCCCAAAAGACCTAAGAATGAGAAGGGGATCAGAGAAGGCAGGCTTGGAAGGCAGAGGGAGGCCTGGGGCCTGGGACTGTCCAGATATTGTCAGACTGTCCAGAGAATGGGGGTTAGGGGGTGACATTCTAAAAGGTAGCTATTTCTTCCTGAACTAAGAGTCTCCTATCCCAGATATTTTGCAGGTCTCCATCGGTGGCAAACATTTCCTAGGGGGACAGAGTGTCACCCTGATGGAGGAACAGACACAAGCTTAAGGGGAAAAGTAAGGACAACATACAACATGCCACTCCTCTCTGAGGTTCTGGGAGTGTCATCCATTAGTCAGCTCTGGAGGGAGAAGATGAACAGGAAGACAATTCTCAAAACACTTTCCTTCTCTCTAACACCTCCCACCACTGAAAATCAAAATAATTATCTCTAGAATAGCTTTTTAAAAGTGAGAGTGAGGCCTTCATTTACATCTCCTTCTTTTCATTATGGGTTGTGTGTGTGTGTGTGTGTGTGTGTGTGTGTGTGACAAAGAGGGAGAGAATGGAGAGAGAGAGAGAGAGAGAGAGAGAGAGAGAGAGACCACATTCCACTGTTCTGCTCTGTCGTATGAGGCATAGTTTGGTCTGGTATTCCCAAAAGCATTTAAATGTGCAGATCCCTTGACCCAGGATGAACTCTGGATAATTATCTCAGAAAATCACTTAGGCTTGCAGAAATGTGTTCATGAGATGTTCATTGGAGGCTGTATGCTCTGCAATCCCTAACTTCCTTACATGGAAGTTGACTTTCTCTCCCTTCCCACTAGCATTCATGTCTGTCTTGCTGGTGATGTATGCCTGGACCTGGAAGACTGAATGACACAGAGTAGGCGGTTAGTTAATACTTGTCCAGTGAATGAATAACACTGAAAAAATTGGCTCCGATCTCAATGTCCCAAAAAACAACAACATATCTTCCCAGCACTGAGAACAGAGCAGAAACACCATGATGGAAGCAGTCATGCATGAGACCCTACAGTGTTTCTAAATGGAGGGGAGAAGCTCAGAGAGGTGACTGAGCCTCCAGGTGAGGCAAGAGCATGACTGAATTTCTCTGTAGAATGGAAGGCATGTTCTTGGGACAGGGTGGACTCAAAGTCATATGCATCCACTGTATTAGTTTTGGTGCCAAACTTTGGCATTAGTCCAAATCCAGTCTCTATCAGGCTCAGCCGAGCCAAGGGGTCTTGGCTTACTGAAGCTTGTTCTGTGCAGACCGTGTTGGTTGATTCCTTTATCAAATGTTAAGCTTTTGAGGTCTACTTCTCTTGCCCCACTCTCCCAAGAGGGCGTTAGAGAAAAAGGAGAGAGAGAATATAGGTTAAATAGATCATAGTTATGAATAGTGTGGCTCTTATAATGATGATATAGAATTAGATGTATTGACAAGGAATATCGACCTAAACTGTTGAGTAAAAGTAGCCTCTGCTATATGACAGTCTACATAACACGGTATCCTTTATATGACTCTTGTCAATGTCTATCATCTACCATCCGTCTATGTATCTATCTATCTATGTATCTATCTATCCATCCATCATCTATATCACCCATCTAATCTGCCTAGATAGCAGGAGCAATATTCAGATGTTAAGAAGAGGTAGAGGTAATTTTTACTTTTAAAAAATATTTCATATACATATATATACTATTTAATTAATTAGCAAATGTCATTAATTAGCAAATGTCATTTTTATCTTCAGGAAAAAAGTTACTTTCATTGAGAGAGAGAGAGAGAGAGAGAAACAGACTAAAATTTGTCATATTTCTGAACTTCAAGTTCAGGTAGGGCATTTGACCGGCCAAGCTGACTCTTTTCTGAATGGTGTCAGAATGACTAAGTTGGAACACTTATGTGTGGAGTTACTATATCTGTTTTTACAGACTTTAGTTTTTTCAGAGAAGTTTTAGGTTCACAATGAAAATTTAGAGAAAGATACAGAGTTTTCCCATATACCTCCCGTCCCTTTTCCCTTCCCCCATGCTCACACACAGCCGTCCCCAGCATCAACACCCCCCACAGAGAGGTGTAACATTTGTGATACCAGAACCTACATTGACACACCATCACCCCAAAGCCATAGTTTACATTAGTGTTCACTCTTGGTGTTGTATATTCTCTGTGTTTGGAAAAGTGTATAATGACATATATCCATCATTATAACATACAGAGTATTTCACTGCTTCTGTGCTCTGCCTATTCATGTCTCCCTATCCCCCACCCCTACGAGCACTGACCTTTCTATTGTTGAAATTACAGCTGTTTAAAGGCAAGATTTTCTTTTGTACTGCTTTTCTCTGAGATTTGGATTTAGAGAAAACTTGGTTTCAGTCCAGGCTCTATGACATACCAGCTGTGTGGCTCTGAGCAATTGCTCTGAGCATTGAGCGTGAGTCCTTAACTATAACACAGAAACATAATATCTCTGTGTGGGTGATGAATGAATGGGGAAAAAGTGCCTATGATAATCCTGAGGAATATGTGTGTGCATGAGAGTCTGCAGACATGTATGTGTGTGCACATATTTAATGTATTATGTAGAGTTCATGTATGTATCCAGGTGTGCATATATTCATGTTATGTGTGCATGTGTGTCTGTACATGCACACATTGAATGTCCAGGTGTGTATATGTGTTATATATGCACACGTGTGTGTGTGTGTGTGTGTGTGTGTATTTTGCCCTCAGTTTACTTCTATCACATTTTTGAAATGATTTACTCTTAGTATAGACAGAAAGTGATATGCTAATGAGACTCAGGAGTGATAAAGGACATTCAAAGGTAGAAGAGCTGCCAGAAGGCCCCATGCTGCCCCATCAGCACATTTACTCCAGGTTCCCCATATTCCAGTCTTTCTCCATCATTGCCTGAGTCCTGATGAGCTGAGGCTGAGCTGCCCCCTGGAATAAAAGAGGGGTCAGATCAAGGAGAAGTTGCGGGGGCAGCCGAAACCCCACTGTCTGTCAGGTTCCCAAGCCTGGTAGAGTGACTCACATCACGTCATCTCCCGGTTACTCAGCTCCACATAGACAGAGCACTTCGCTTCCCGTTCATCACCACACACAGCTCACAGAACGGGGGACAGACTTTCACCTCCTGGAATCTCAACAGCCCAGTCCCTGGTCCCAGAGGAAACAAAATGTTTTCATTCTGGCTGATTTCTTCTTATTCAACCCAAGAGAGGTTTTATGCTGCAGCAAATGCTAGGCAGTAGGAACCTCTTCAGTTTTGTGTTTTTAGATCTGTCTTCTTTCAACCTTTGTCCCCATGTAAACTTAATTCACTAATGTTACACAATAGGTTCAAAATTATGAAGCTGAACTGGCAAAATATAACTGGAGTGAGTGCATAATATTGGTCCTCAAGCCACAAAAATTATGGTGTAACTTGTTGCTAAATTGACTTAATGTAATTGATTAAATGCTTTTATTATAAGCCTCCCAAATGGTTCCTGCAGCTTCTGGAACCGTAAGCTGTACATCCAACATTGTTGGCTACTTTTCTGTTACTAAATTTTCAAAACCAGGTTGCATTGAGATATGAACTAGAAAACAAGAATTGCATACTCTTTCCCTCCCACCTTTTTCTCTGGTGGATAGTGCAACTTCCTGAATAATATTTTAAGAGACTCTAGAATTTTCCCAAGTGTTAAGAAAATTATCAGTTTCACAAATGAGTTCATATTTTACACATACATAAAATTAGACAGATAGGACCCCAATGACATGTATTACAATCAAAGGGAAGATTTCCATCATGCAACACTTTGTTCTAAACAAGTACTTTGAAGATAAGTAGAAATTCAGTAAAGTCTAACCCAGGGATTCTCAATTTCAGCACCATTGACATTTGAGCCACATAATATTGTGCTGTGGGGCTGTCCTGGCATTGTGGGATGCCAGTAGCCCTCGCCATCCCAGTTGTGACAATCCAAATGGCTCCAGTGATCCCACAGATTGGCCCAAGAGGAGAACCACAGTCCAACCCACTCTCGATCAGCCTCTAACTCCAATAAAAAACAAACCAGGCCATTCAATAAAAAGGAAAGAAACATCAATACATGCTGCACCATGGATGAATCGCAAAAACTTTATGTTAGGTGAAGGGAGCCAGACACAAGAGACTACATACTGTGTGATCCTATTTAGATGAGATGTCCCGCAAAGGCACGTCTGCAGAGACAGAGAGCAGATCAGTGGCTGCCAGTGTCGAGGCAGGAGTGGGGATTGGCTGCACCTGGGCACGAGGATCTTGCTGGGTCATGAGGAAGTCTGAATCCGGATTATGGTGACAGCTTTCACGACTTGTAGGTGCCATAAGGATCACCGAATTATACACTTTAGATGAGTGAATTTTATGGTAAGTTTTAGCTTAATAACGTTGTTTTTAAAAAAACACATGAAAAACAAACTAGGAGGGTAAAATGTATTGCAGAAGAAGAGAATCAAAACTGGAGGTAAACCAATCACAGGGATTTCCTTTAACTATGGAGGAAGCCTCCAGAAAACAGACATCAAATCCCCACTTCTATCACCCAGACGACCGTTAGAGCAAGCCCACAATATTTTGCTGGCCAGACAGCTGCACGTCTGTTAACACCTGATGCAACTCAACGGGCTGTTCAGTCACTGCCAATGTGTCTTTCTATGGAAAATATCATGCACGCATGGTCAGCCATGTTCGACATGGCAAGGAAGGAGACAGAGTGGTCTGCTGGGGACTGCTGTGTAAGACATTCTGGGCTTTCTGTTAGTATATAAAGTAATTCACATTCACGATGAAACATGCCTAGGGTGACATTATATGTGGCCAGAAAAGAGTTTTAAACCACCCAGGACTCCCCATTGCTCACTCAAACCTCTGTCATAGTAAAAACATGAACAAATAAAAAAAACCCAAACTCTCCTTTGCTGTGCATGAAATAAAGCAGTGTGACCATTTAGAAAACTTCTGGGGACTCTTACTGAGCACATAGCTTCTTGGGAAATGTTCAGCTGCTGTGATTCACTGTAAAGATACTTACTGTGTTCACTCTTTACTTCGAGGAGCGCATGACCTTCTTGGGCCTGTTAGCAGGTCGGGTAGAGGAGCTTTCCCCGGTTAAGTTATGCACATTAACTTGGCCAAATCCACAACCTTAAGGGAGGCAGCACTTAGACTGTCTGTGACTAGTCTTCACAACATTCTAGAATCTTCAGCTCGGAAGACGCTAAGAAAAGGGAGAAGTTGGTTAGACTTTGGGGCTTTTGGGTAAGTTATCCCAAGACCTCAATCTGGTGAAGGTTTAGGCAAAGGTATGTGTTGATGGTAAATTTATCCCCGCCTCCCAATTTTAGCTGGGAACTGTGGGGACATGGAAGAGATGACTTCAATAATTTAAATTTCTCCTTAAGGTCACACACGAAAAAGATGCTTTCTTTTTTTAACGACTCTACATCTGATATATTAGAGAACATTGAAATTCTGTCCAGGTTTTAAGGCCTAGTAAACTGAGGACTGAAAAATCACTCTGTGCCTGAGCCAGGAGGCAGCCAGGAAGGCAGCAGGCCCCACAATGCCTGCAGCATTCCAGGAAAACCCACTGGAATGATAAATAATTCTGATGGGGCCCAACGTGCAAATGGGCTGAGGGCAGGAAGGGCGCTGCTCTCCCTGACGACACCACCAGTGTCCTGGAAACTATCGGGCAGGCAGAATGTTTGCTGTTCACTGATCATCTCTGACAACAGCACTGAGAGACCGCCAGGACAGTATCTGTCCCACGCGTGTCCTGTTAGATGCACACATCGTAATTCTGCAGTGACATGTGCTGAGCAGGATCCGGACAACAAAGACATTTTACATGCAAACTTACCCGAGAATATGGGAATAAATACAAGGTGACATCACTAGAGAAGATCCAAAGTGGTTTGATTTACCTTAGGTGTTGCCTACCTCTTTTTAGCAAATAAATACATATAAGCTTCAGAAGAGGTTTGATATGTGTTCTTTTCACATATCGATGGCTGTCGAGCTCTGTGATCATGCTGGGACAAAACAAAAGCCTTGCTACCCGGCAGGTGCTGGTTAGGCTACTTTCCAAAACACCGAGCTGTCTTTTATTTCTGAAGAACATTATGGTTTTCTGCTTTCTAATCTTTGAGTTTAAACTTACAGAAAACAAAGCAGAGAGTGCTGATTCAACATCTTGACCAGGTTTATTCCAGTAAGAAAGCCATGGCTATCTTCACCTTCACCCTTCTGAGATATGTCCTACTGTCTCTTTAGAATGGCTGTGACTAGTCTTCAACTGCTCCATGTCCTACTCAAACTTTTCATTTTTTTTTAGTTTATCTTTATTGTTGACAGTATTGCAGATGTTCGCTCCCCTCCCCCCTTGACTCCTTCACCCTGCACTCCCCAGGCCTTCAATGAACTATTGTGTGTATCCAGGCTATGCATATAAGTTCTTTGGCTAATCTATTTTCCCTCCCTTTGCTCTGAGATTCCTCAGTCTGTGCCATGTTTCCATGTCTCTGGACTGGTTTTGTTCTTCAGTATTTTGTTCATTAGGTTCCACATATAAGTGAGATCATATGATACTTGTCTTTCTCTAACTTGCTTATTTCACTTAGCATAATAATCTATAGGTTCCTCCATGCTATCTCAAAGGATAAGAGATCTTTTTTTAAATATATTTTTTATTGTTGACAGTATTAGATATCCCCCCCCTTTACCCCACTGCTCCTAGCCCCTAGAGATCCTTTTTTTAAAAAATAAATATATGTTTTTATTGATTTTAGAGAGGAAGGGAGAGGGAAAGATAGAAACATTGATGAGAGAGAAACATCAGTCCAATGCCTCCTGCATGCCCCCTACTAGGAATTGAGGCCACAACCCAGGCATGTGCCCTGACCAGAAATCTAATGGGTGACCTCTTGGTGCATGGGTCAATGCTCCACCATTGAGCCACACCAGTTAGGTAAGAAATCCTTCCTTTTTGACAGCTGCATAGTATTCCATTGTGAAAATATACCACATCTTTTTTATCCACCAAAAACTACTAGATTTAATAAATGAATTTGACAAAGTAGCAGGATACTAGATCAAACTTTTTTTTAAAAAAAGTCAATTACTTTTCAGAGACGTGAGTTTTCTCTGTGTTTTTTTGTTTTGTTTTTAAGTTTTGGAGCAAAATAATTCTTATCTCTGGGCAAGAGGAGATGAGCTCTATGATGTTAAAGTATTAACTTACATCTGACAATTTGGTGATAAGACTGAACAGCTTTCATTGATCCAGAACTGTGTTTCTTAGAATCTATAACCGAGCATTCAATCTGACCACCGCAGATACCCAGGCGCACACAGCCCCACTCCTGTTTGAGCACTTGTTTCTGCACTGTCTGCCCCGACCCGGATCAAATCCCCTCTTCGAGTTTTGCTGGGTTCCTGGACCACCTCACCCTTCCCTCCCCTGCAGCTCTGCCTCCTTCTGCTGCTTCCTGCACCTGCGCCTTCCTGGGTACTTCTCTTTTGGCTTCTCTTAGCTCTTCCAGTGGTGTCCCTCCCAGACAGACCTCGCCTCTACCTGCTGCCCCTCTGAATCTAGATACTGCTCACTGGCTTGTCCAGCGGGTCCCAGACACAACCGACTCGAGTCTCTGTGCCTCAAAGATGATTTCAGGTTCAAAGTCCTCAAGGAAAGCACTTTCCCTGCATAAATGTATCATGTGAAGACTTCTCTCACAGAGTAGTTAACTGTGGCCTCTTCACTATTTATTTCCATTGTATTAATTCATAAATTCATTCATTGAGAACCAACTATGTCAAATGATAAAGTTGCCCCGACCTTTGTTTCTAAATAATTTTGGCAGCCTGCTCACATGAAGAGCTCGTTTTCCATTGGTTCCAGCACAGTGCAGGGCAAAGAGCGCTGGGGCGAGAGCCAGACCTGAGTTCTAGACCTGGTTCCTCTGGCCAGCAGCTAAGCGTGGGTGCTAGTAATTCCCTGTGTTTGTTAGGAAATGAATAAATATATGTGAAAGTGCTCTATAAGTAGAAAACACTTGATTAACCATATAGAACTGACCAAGCAAAAGTAAGTTTCTTAATTCCATTGTAGACTTCTTTTATTTGGGCGGGGCAGGCACATTTTCATAATCTCAGAAAGAAGCTGATGGACAGAAAAACCAGTCTGGCCTTTTCTCCAAGAAACCTGAAGGAAAGATGCTGTAAAGTAAAGCATGTATGTATTGGCCCCTGTTTTCGAGGCAGGAAGCCAGGGCACCTCAGCTCGGAACCGGGGTGTGCCCGGGAGCCGGGCCGTCAGCTCAGGCAGGGGCACCTCGCCAGGGAGCTCAGTGTGAGCGCCTATCTTTTCCTGAGAGCAATTTCAGCATCAGAAGTTGCATCTGAGAGAAAAGTTGCTTTGAGCAACCGTTTTAACTGGTACCATGAACTTTGTCCAGAGCTAGTTTCACAGCAAACAATCAGCATCAAACTCTTCTCAGAAATGAGTGTAAATTGTGAGAAAGGCAGTGAATGAGGAAATCCAGGAAATACAACAAGGCTATCAGATAGTAAGTGCATGGATTTGAGTGAAAGGTGACAAGAATAAGGTCATCGACATTATAAGAAATATATAATAGTTTAAAAATCCAAGCCACAGGAGGTTGGTAAAGCCAGAAAAGGGTGGATAGGTTCTGGTTGGGGCTGCAGAAGCAATTCACAGAAGAGGACCCTGGAGAAGGCCTTTCCTCTGCACCCAAAGGCAGCCCCCGACGCTCTTGAGTGGACATGTGGGCTCAGCTAGGCAGGGGTCTGGCCCATTGCTGAGAGCAGACTGGAGGCATCAATAATTTTGACTGACTGACTTAAACACAGAAAAAGGAAAGGAACGTGGCAGCATGAGGTGTTTTTTTTTTTTGTTTTTACTTTTATTTATTACTAGGGGCCCAGTGCAGGAATTTGTGCACCTTGAAAGAAACTGTGGGCCGTGAAGTTGTGGTGGGCATAGGAGTGGGTCTTGGCCCATCCTCTGTGCTCCCACCTGGCCCCTCCCGCTACGGTCCTCAGTTCCATGTCTGCGGGCAGCCCTGCTCCCACTACCACTGCTCCCATGTGCTGACGGCGCAGGCCCCACTCACACCCACTGACAGCGTGGAGTGATTGGGGCTGTTGCCAGCAGTGGGTGCAAGTGGTGGCTGCTGCCCCAATTCGCCCCTCAGAAGCAGGGGAAGGTGGAGAAGCCCTCAGGGGTGATCAGGCCAGCAGCCACAGCTCACATTCGCTAACAGCACCGAGTGATAGGGACCAGCGCTGGGCGCTGGCAGCAGGTGGGAAAGGGGCTGGCACCGGCAGTGGGTGCAAACGGGTGCGAGAAGCAGCTGCTGGCCCCAATCACCCCTCAGGAGCATGGGGAGGTGGAGAAGCCCTGAGGGGTGATTGGGGCCGGCGGGTGCGAGTGGCGGGTGCGAGTGGCGGTTCCAGCACTAGCAGTGGGTGCAAGCGCTGGGCGGGACTGCGGCATGCAGGAGCAAAGAATTTTCAGTAACCACCAGAGACTTGCCCCAATAACAGTGACCGTTGCCGCACGTTGGCCAACACCTGCCATGTTCCGTGCTCTGCCACCTGCTACCGATGCCCACCATGTTCTGTGCACGCCCCCTGGTGGTCAGCACACGTCATAGAGACCGCTTGTTTGTTCCGTAGTTCGGTCTATTTGCATATTAGGGTTTTATATATATAGATTTTGCTAAACAAGCAAAAAACAAAACAAAAAAAACAAGATTAGGATGCTAATGGGAAGGTCTTAATAAAAGAAAGTTTAAGAGGCTAACATTCCAGTCCTAAAACATTTGACTTATTTATAAATATGTTTTGATTCTTGAGAGAGAGGAAGGGAGAGGGAGAAACATTGATGAGAGAGAACATCAATATGCTGCCTCCTGCATGATGCTCAGTGGGGATCAAGCCTGCTGCTCAGGCATGCACCCTGCCCGGAATCGAAATAGCGACCTCCCAGTACTAATTACTGAGCAACACCAGCTGGACCATTTATTTTTAAAGAAGCATCAGAAGCACGTGAGGTGAGCAGACAGGGAAAACCCTGAGGCTTCACTTGGGTTAGGCCAGGTCCTGCCCATTTCACAGTGCGCTCAGATTTCTACAGTTCCCAGAGTGCTAACTGTATGGAGCAAGGAGGGTCCTGAGCATAGTTCTAAAAATGGGGTAGGTGGGTAGGGAAGGCTTGTTCTCCGTTAGAGGGCTCGGCCCAACTCATTGAACACAAAAGAGAAGGAGGCCATGTGGCTCCAAGAATATACACGTGGGAGGACAGAGGAGAGAGGTGTGAGGTGAAGAGCACAGGCCTGGTGCCGTAGGCTCTGGGTTATAGATCTGGAGGATAAGAGTGGGGCCAGGAGCCTTCAGGGGTCCCTACCTCCATGCTTGCTCGTCTCAGGGGTGTAGTGACAGCCTGAACAAAGCAAGGCCACTGGGAGGCTCTGACAGCAGGTGAAGCAGGGAGGAGCAGAGAACACTGCAGGACCAATGACTTGACACGAGTTCATGGTAGGAGAGGGTGCAAAACCCAGCTGTGTTCCAGCCCTGCCTGAAGCCAAAGGTTCACTGGCAGGGACTTGCAGCTCATGTCAGAGAAATGCACAGTGATTTCAGCACAGAAGAAGGGCAGGTTCATCGCTGGGAATTATCAAAAATTTACCAATTTTAAATTAGGTCCCATCACTAAATAGGGGAAGTAGTTTTAATAAATTATGTGTACATAGATTAGAATTCTCTCTGGAAGGCACAGGGTAGGGGGCGGGGGGAAGTTGGTAGTTTGAAGACACACTTTAAATTGGGAATTCTTTGACAAAAAGGGGAAGCTTCAGCCCCTATCGCCATGTTGTGAAGTGTAGACTGTCGTATACTGAACCTCACAATTGAAGGGGAACTTCTGGAGAACACAGGAAAGGAAAAACAAAGCAGCTGTCTCAGCAGGGTCCTCGAAAATAAACAAAGAAACCTTCAATTATCTTTGAAGAAAGAACCAGAAAAATGAGAGGAACATGTGAAAAGAGAATTTTCATTATCCTTTCACTTCTGTCTCTATAGGAAAAATGAGTTGGCCAAGTCTCAGGAGATGTGAGAAAACCAAATGAGAATAGGGGACAGGGCCCACCGACACTGGCCACAGCGAAATCAGATGGGCTCCCAGGGCCTCCAGCATTTCCTAAGAAAAGGGTGCTGATACAGAAAGAAGACAGTGAAGCACATAAAGCTGGTTTTGTTTTCATGAAGGACCTTATAAACACAGGTGCATACTTACTGAATTTGACACCAGGTCACTTGTGTGGCAACCAGTAACAGTTGTGGAATGAAACAAAGGATAGGAAGATAGAAAAGAAATACATGCTGTGAAAACCTTCTTGTATGGCATTTTCTATTTATCATGACAATATATAAATAAGAACAAAAAAGTAACAGTGAAAAGAAGGAAAAATTCATGTACTAATACTTTTAAATT